ATTTGATGGAATATTTACTGTATTATTGCCTGAATTATTGTTTGAATTGAAAGTAGATTGTTGCTGTTGCTGTTGTTGTTGATTCCCACTAGTATACCCAAATCCAGAATAATGACCATAATTTAGAGGTTGTGACGTATTAAAAAAAGGAGGGGTAGTAGAGGTAGCAGTAAGATTTGAGGGTTAATGGGTTTTGAGAAACTTGAACTTACAATATTTTGATTTGGTTTCATAATGTTTTGTGAATAGACTGGTTGTTTTCTTTTATTAATAGCAGTTACAGCGATAGGGGTGCTTGAGAGTAGAGGGTTTGTAAAAATGTTACCAACTGTACCAATAGAAGTCGAGTTGAATGCTTGACTACTTCGTCTGTTTCACTTTCTGATTTTGAATCGATCACTAATATTTGAAGATACTGTTTCTTAGATAATAGTTTTGTCTGCAGAAGAAGAATTATCAGATAAAGATGATTGAGGTCTAGGTTGGATTTCTTCTGAATCTCCTTCTGAATTTCTTAATCCAAGGGTATTACCAATAATACGAGCAGCTCTGATTAACGTACTAGTAGTGTCAGTAGAACGAGATTGAGCAGTTCTTTTTTGAGGTTGATATTGAGTAGTTGAATTATATGTTCTTCCTGAAAAAAGGATACGACTAGGTTAGCTTTCAGAGGTGTTAGACTCCATGTTGATTGATTGAAGATGGTCTTTTAAAAAGATATCTTGTTGGTCAATAAAACTCTTTGTCCACTCTAAGAATGGTGAACTTCCAGTTTTAATGTGATTTGTTTGAGCTAATACAAGAATTAGATCAAGAACAATTTGATAGATATTATCTTTTGAAAGATCAGCAGAAGGTTGATATTAACAAGATTCAACTAAAGCAGAGGTCTGAGTAATAACAGTTATAGAGATTTCCCAATTATCAGGTTCGATAAATTCAGGAATAGAAGTTCTAAGTTTAGTAAATAAAGCAGTTGTTTCCTTAGAATATTGGATTGCTTTGAATTGTAGGCGATACCAAGACCAAAAGTCATCAAAGTTCTTTAAATGTTCAAATTCTTCTTCGATAGGATAACAAATTAAACAAGATATATCAGATACAAGTGTTAAGTTTAAGGGTTCTCTAATAGTAATCAAATGATATAAACTATTATGTACTTGATTTCTATTTGCAAAACTCATATACTTTCTTATGTTTGAATCCTGGCAGGAATCACCACTTTTATCACAGTGAAATTCTTCAACTCGAGGTGGTCACGTTATCAAGTCTCTACTCAAATTTCTTAACTACAGCTTACTGCAATCAAAACATTAGGATCTGCCTAACTCTTAACTTTACCAGATTTACGCGTTGAACTTAAACAAATTTATCAAGTATGAAGACTTGAAAGACGAGATTATGAACAATTTTAATTAAAGAATTCAGATGACAAACTCAATTATAAATAATGTGTAGGGATCACATCAGACTATATGAAGACATGAAAAGGCAGAAAGATATAAGTTTTAAATTGATTCCTTTATTAATATTGTAACTCGTATTTGCAAAAGAATTTTCAAATCTGCAAAAGAGTTAATTTATAACATTAGCAAAAAGTTTATCTATTTATATAAAATTTCTTTTGTCACAGCTAACTAATTACTATTCTATAAACTAACTAATTTAGCAAAATAAAATATAAGTAAAATAAATACATTGAGAATAATAAAGATACGTAAAATAATAAAAATATAAAATAAAATAAAAATAATAATAAAATTTAGAATATTAAAAATGCGTATAACACTAAATATTCTTAGATTTCGTTTAATTCGTAAAATTATGATCATTATCAGTATTTGAAAGATCTTCAGAATTACGTAGATCTTCCATATTTTCAGAATTCGCAGAATTCTCAGTATTTTTAGAATTCTGGATTAAGAGATCGTCATATTGCGTCATTTACATGACTTCATTATGACTGGCCAATTGTTCTGTTGACAATATATTACTATTGTTACTATTATTACTTTATCTATCATTGTTGATGTTGATGATAGTAATAGTGATAATGGTAAAAAAAAAGGAAAATGAAAAAGAAAAGATTTTAAAAATTATAAAGATCTTGATTAAAATTATTGTAAAAATTGTAATTATAAATTAATAATGATATTTTAATAATGTATTTAATATATTTATTATGTGTTTTATAATTTAATTTCATTATACATATCAATAATTTCTTTAGCAAGAGATTGGATTAGATTAGATTTGATTTGTATTTGCATATATGTTTAGATTTAAGTTTGAGTTTGAATGAGTTTGCATTTGTATTGCATTTGATATATTGATTTATTTTTTATTTAAAATAAAAAGAAATTATTATTTATAAAATAAAAATTGTAATAATTGTGTTAATTATAAAATAAAATTGTAATAAAACATTCAAGTATAAAAAATTAATATTTAAATAAGAAATGATAAAATAATAAATACAAATTTTATGGCAAACATTAACTTTAATTATAAATAATTGAAAAGCTTAACTATATAAATTTAAAACTATAATAAGTAGTTGAAAAGAAGATTCTTCTCAACTACACAACTTTCAACTATTAAAGTAGTTGAAAAGAATTCCTTCTCAACTACTTAATTTTCAACTATATAAGTAGTTGAAAAGAATTCCTTTCCAACTACTCAACTTTCAACTATTTATAAGTAGTTGAGAAGAAAATCCTTCTTAACTACGCTAAATTTAAAACCCATTAAAGTTGAGAAGAAGAACTTTTCTCATTGTTTCAAAAAGGGCATAAATAGATTATATAATGTAAATTTTAGAATTTAACAAGAAATATATTTTATGAAAATGATATTTAATAATAAATGAAGTGACGCATTTGATTTTTTTTTCTATTTTTAATGAGAAAATTAGATGAAATGTAAATTTTGACACAAAAGTAAGTGTCGTTTTTCCTCTAAGAAAAATTTTTTATATTTTTTATAATAATAAATGAATGAATTTTGGGTAAAGAATAATTTTTTATTTTTTTTTTTGAGGAGAATTGTATTTTTTTTTTTTTAAATGGGCAAAAAAAAAGTATTTAAAGCCGAGCCACCATGTGAAAGCACATAATCATATGTGATCGTCGAACAGCCTAGGGCACAGCCAGACACTAAGCCCGTATACAAGCAGATCAATTTTATTTAGTACACGTGTAACTAGATATTTTCTTTGAAACGCACTTATCAAAGTTCTTTGGAATATTTATTTCAATTTAACTTAACTCCGAGATATTAAAGTTACATATAGATCTACTTAATACATTTGCGTTCTTGTGATGGTATCCCTTATCATATTAGATTAAACCTTAAATCGTTGATAATCAATCGACCTTTAATACCGGACCCATTGTCTACGAGCAATAATTATTTCATTGTTTGAATATCGTGTAATTCGTGTAATGGATCACTATTAATCATTCGTCATGTTAAATTTTGTTTTGATCTTCACACCAATTAACTTACATTGCCTCCCTTTTCTGTGTAAGTTTAAAACAATGGACCTGCGCGTGAGAACCACTAAATGTCAAGAACTCCTTTTGTTAATACAATGATTATTATATCATTTCAACTTAATTAGGATAAATTGATAATGGTTTGTAATCATGTAATCATCAATCGTTTTTTTCCCTTATCAATAAATGTCGAAAAATAAAAGAACTCTCAATGACGATGGACATTCTGTTTCATTATAAATACGTGTTGAATCGGCATTCCTTTCTCCTCACAAAGCGACAAACATCTGCTTGTCACTTTTAAAATCTCCTTTGATGTTAAACATACAGAGAAATATACAAAACAGCAATCCCGGGAATCCCGGTAGAAATCCAATTATTGAATTTAATAATCTACTTGCAATTATCAACAGAAATGTAATCTTCCCCAATCAGATTCAAAATCCAGCCAGATTCGTTACACTTTTAAATAATAATAGTCGACGTTCAAGACGTTGCTATAAAGGCTTCGATTTATGTTGCGTCGTTGTTGGGGAAGAGGCTAGAAATCATAACGTGACGAATCAGATCGTAGTTAGACGTGTTGCTAATGCATTATGGAGGAACAGTAACGTGAATGATAAAAGACGTTATTGCATCCTTGCTCGTTTGATTAACAACGAGTTACAGAGATTATAAGAATAGAATAACTTTAAAATCCGAATCTGAGATACGATGGTTAATGGCAAATCTGAATTTTTTTTTTATCGTTTATCGTTTATCGTTTATTTCGTTTATTTCGTTTATTTTATGATGGCAAAACATTTATTAAGATCTTAAAATTATTTTATAAGTAATAAGCTAGTTTATGAACCTTTCAAGCATTAAAAACAATTAAGTTAATAATTATTATAATCACAGTTAATTCTGTTAATAGGTTTAATAATATTTTTTTCTTTTTTTTTCGGGCATTTCATTTTGTAATTTATTCATTACATTTATAATCGTTATTATTTAATTTTTAATTTATTTTTCGTTGTTCGTTAATAATTCTTTATAATAAAATGAAAATCGTTGATCCGATTTGCTATTGTAAATGCGTACATGTGAAATGTTTGGAACACGCGAAATTTGTGTTCTATGAATTAAGGAGCAAAAACATTTAGAAACATTAAATACATTATCAAAAAATACACAACATTAAACGTTATCTTTCGATCACAAGTACATAAATGGTGTCGTTCGATTGCATCAATTTAATATTTTGATTATTTTCGGCGCTAAACCATCATTTGGCAAAAATAGAGACGGAAAATGTTTATATTAATATTTATTAAAAAATATTCTTTTTTAAGAATGTTGAACGAGATAAAAGTAATAACGGTGTGTTAAGTGGTAAACAAAAATTAAAGGAGAACCGATTTTTGATCTTCTTACGCCAATTGAAACGTAAAAGCAATAAAATTATCGGATGTGTGTGATTTAAGTTTAGCTATTTTAATTTCTTATAAAGTATTCATTATGAGTCGAACCATATGGTAGTTCTTGTGAAATACGATTGGTTCACTTACCCCTTAACAATGATTATGTTGAAACAATGGGACATACTCTATTTTTAATATAAACAGTACCACTAAGCTCATCGCCATTGTCTCCGAACACCAATACATTTCTAAATAATTATTATGTTCAACTTTACAATGAAATGCCATTGTATTACTTTATTTACAAATTGTTATCATGTAAATATACGCGATCTTTACAACAAAGAACTGTATAAATACCATCGCGATTCTTTCTTCTATTTTCACAAAGACAAAAAAAAAAAAAAAAAAAAAAAAAAACTTTTTTAAAACAACGATCGTCTTTGTTCGTCTTTGAAGCCCTCGTGGAACGAATTTTCCCCTGATTTACTTGATCTTCAAGTAATTTATTTATAATGAACAGAACTACCCATAATGGCAGAAGAGCTCGAATTGCCGAAATAAACAACCTTGCAGCAAATATCAATAGAGCTAGGATTTTTCCACCTCATATTCTAAACCCAAACATCATCCTTTCTCTTTTACGCCGTAATTATCAACGTCCAAGACGTAAATATCATGGCTATAATTTAATTTACGTCGTTACGAAGGAGGAAGCCAGGATCAACAATAGTGTGACAGATGATATTATTATTAGGAATGTTGCTAACGTATTATGGAGAGAAGGTACCAGAAATCAGAAAGAACAATATACCTCCCTTGCAAATGCCGTAAACGACTTAATTAAGCGTTAATGAATTATTCTTATTACGAATCTAAGTTAATATGCTTTTATATGATCCAATCTTCTCTACTTTAACCTTTTTAAGAACCTTCTTTCTTTACAACATCATTAAAAGAAAATATTACAGCAAATAATTCAATGAAATAGATCACTTACAGTATATCATAAGCTTTGTATTCATTTATTATTTCTATCCTAATAATTTTGACCCATTAATTATCCTCTTAATAAGATTTTTAAGAATACAATTTTTTTTTTTTACATGATTAATTAAAACAAATATAGCAATTTAATTTTAATAATAACTTCATTATTAGCTTTATATTATCATAACTTAATAGTACATGTACTATATATGTCATTAAATAGCCAACATAATTAAGAAAAATATATTTTGAACAAATTATTTTTTTAAGTCGATTTTTATAATTTAGTGGGTTTGATATTAGGGCTAGGGCGTGGGAAGAAGCGTTAGATTATTATGGGAATTAGGTTTAGGAAAGCCCCAGTCCGGATGTGGCTTGGGAGCTTCTTTTAAGGTTCTTCATCCTAACTTACATCGATTGATTAAAGAACAATAAAAAATTTTTATTTACTGTTGCTTATTTTTTTTCATTCATACATACAGTATATAAAATAAGGGAAAAACGGTCCTAAAAGTCCAATAATTTTGCCAATTCTAGATATACAGTAAAAAAACTCATTAAAATTGTTATAAATTTTTGAATAATTTTAAATGAGACCGTCCCTGTCATTAGGACCCGATCCTAGTTTTCAAATATAAAGATTCTGGATTCCGAGTAAATTTTTTTTATAAATTCCATTAATACATTATCATTAGAAAGTAATATATGAATAAAAAATTTTCTCTAGAAATTTTTTTTTAAAAAAAAATCATTTTAACGTAACTATATAAAATATTACAAATGTTTTAAACCATTAACAATTTTAATTTACAAGCATCTCGCAATATGCGGGCGTATAGAGAAAAAAATTTCCCAAAAAGAAATGTTTTAAATTATTAATTTTCTTTTTTTATTATTATTATTATTTTCGAAAGTTCTTTGACTCATTTTCAAACTTCACTTGATTTTAATTTCTGCAAATATTGGAAACTCGTTTTTAATTTTCGATCATGAATCTCATATGATTGCGTATGAAAAATTTATCTCGAGTTTTTTTAAAATAAAAAACGCTTTTCACCTTTGTTTGAGGTTACACAAATATATTCAGGTGTCCCGAAAATAACAGTAAAGTATTCGATTAAAAATAACTAATGGAGCACAATGCTTCAATTTGCTGAACTTATTAATAGTCATTTTTTATTTAAAAAACATATATATTTAAATAAAATATACTATTTATTATAGATATAAAATACATAGATCACGCTTAATCAAATTTCAATATAAGTATCCCTTTTTTCAACCTTTTTTCCTACTTCTTCCTTCTTTTTTTAAAAAAAAAAAAATTGCTTTGATTATTTTATAACTTTACTTATTAAAATGAAGTTATTATTTGGATACATGCTGTAGAAACATCACATTTTAATAACAATTATAAAGGTATTGATTGGATTTCTACTTGGCTGCGATGAAACAACAAAACGGAATTAAGATGCCATTCCTTCAGTTAAAGCGGCTTTTTCAACAATTTATCGCTATTTAACCCAGCAATCTGTAACACCAGAATGCAATTTATACGACAGTAAAATTAAAGCTTCTGACAGGAAAAGATAATATTCAACGGAATTGGGACATACGAAAAAATCATGGTGTTACCAAACTCAAAGAATACGCAGCATTATTAAATTTATGCACTTTTACATTATGGAGGAAGACTTTAGAAATATTAATAACTTTTTTTTTAATATGGTATTTTCTCGATGTAAAATCGTCGCTTAGATAATAATCAACGACCAAGGTACTTTAGGAATCCGTAAACAAAAATAGAAACTTCCATAATCAAAAAAATTTTTAGTGTGACATCATCATCTTAATAATGCCAATTAAGATGATCTCGAATTTTCCAATCGTGTAACTATGCGTCAGTCGGAAAGTTATTTTCCCTAAATCCGTATAAAAGATCTTTTCTTTACTGCTTTTTTTAAACAAGAGACTTTCGGGTAAAAGAAATTAACGTTTGCATATTATCCGGTAAAAAGTGCGTTAAATATCACGATGCGCAGCAAATGTTCTAATCGGAAATTATCAATAATAAAGATACTGTACATTAAAAATCATTGGTTATATGATATTATAAATCAAAAATTTTGAAACAATTACGTTCTGTGTAATTCTAAATATAACTATTTTTTTTCACAATGCATCACCTTGTAAAAACAATTAGTCCTGATGTTTATTTTTTTTTTCATTTGGACAATCATAAGGCTAATTCGTACATTTATGAGAATGCTCTTTTAGACATTTTTTTATGATTGTAATGCAAAAGAGATCTTTAACATTTAAAAAAAGTATATTATAACAGTATCTTCTCAGTATGGGAAAAAACTTGAACCATCCGAATGAAATGACATCATGCATCATGAGTGTAACATAACTAGCACTGCGATGGAAATCTTCGGTTCATTATAAATTTATTATAATAAATTCATGTAACACATCTGATTATGTTTGGAAACATTTCGGTTTTTACGTAGTAATTTTGACAACTTTGGAATCTTATCGGTTATCATACGACGATCTAATCAACTAAAGGTATGTATTGGTGCGTGAAATGTCATCATGTAATACTTTATGCGACCATTTAAGGAAACCTCCGGTGCATTTATATTGAAGTAAAAAAGTATAAATAGGTGAGATTTACTCGGTTTTTTTTAGGGACGGGAAACTTGAGAGCAACAAAAATCTACACCCTTTTTAATGAATCAAATGACCAACAATCCGTATTTAAACTCCGAAGAATTAAGTCCTTCATGCGTGTTTATTAATACGAATAATCCAAAAGTACAAAATCATGTTCGAAATGACAATGTTCCTTATCCCTCAATAAAACCTTCTTTCCCGCCTTTACTTGATCCAAAAGATTTATTAATTATTGGTAAAGATAATAAACCGACTCGTTCTCCGAACGCATTTATCATTTATCGTAAAGTTTTCTTTAAGACCGTTAGGAATGAAGGTCATATTTTACCTATGACCGCCATTTCTTCAATGGCCTCACAATCTTGGGAAGGAGAATCCGAGGAGGTTAAGAAATATTATAAGAAACTCGCCAAAGAGGCTTATAATTATCGTAATGAACTATTTCCTAAAAAGTCCAGTCGACGGAGAAAGCGGGAGACATGGAACATTATCTCTTTTAATAATAATAATATCACTTTCTCAACTCCTTCACCTTCCTCCACTGTCAATAATAATGATAACGATAACGCCTCGAAAGATACAAACGAAAATTCATCGAATTTGCAATCGTCTACCCCTGTCGAATCTGTTCTTGACGCTTATATGCAACTTAATAACGTTTTATTGCAAAATATTATCATGTCAAATGAAATATCTTTAAATCTATTAAATAATTATGATATTCAAGCTAATAATCTTACCGCTGCCACCGATTTCTTGAATTTGCAACAAATTCATCCAGGTCCATCATTGGATGATCTCGTTTCACCGGATGTAAACAATAATCTCGATGATCTTTTTGCAAATCATCCTTTCGAAAATGCTGAACTCTCGAATTTACATGAACAAATTTATCCAAGTCCGTCACTGGACGACATAAACGACAAAAATGATCTCTTCCCTCTTGGAAATTCACAATTAGAAAATGAACAAGAGAAAGAAATGCAAAAGGACTTACAGCAACAGCTTTTCTTTTCTCAAGACCTTACAAATTTAGATCCTTTCGATAATTTGAATTTTTTTTCAAATGAACCGCAACAAACCGATTTAAGTAATAATGACGCTACTCCAGTTTTATTAAACAATACAAATTCGGAAATTTTTTTTGAAAATTCGGATCTTTCAACTGATTTCACACAATGTCGAGATGATTTGGGAATTTGCACCTTTGCCAATGCCGAATTCGAGGATTTTTTCTCCACGTGAAAATAAAAATTAAAAAAAAAAAAAAAAGGTTTCGAAATTTGCTAAAAATACGACAACATACGTTTTGTATAGTAAATCCACATATGGTAACGTATTTATTATTTAAGCATTTGATACGAAGAATCGGAGATATTAGTAATTTAAGATAATATGTTCAATTGTAATTAATATAATTAATATAAATTTACATTTTTAAAAAAATAAATAAATAAAACAATATGCTTAGTAAGTATGGAAATTAATTGTTTCATATAAAAATCTCCGAAATTTGTGAAACTTACTTAATTTGCAAGAAACTTTCCGAATTAGTAATTAGTTTGTGTACATAAAACCTGACTCGATTTTGAAAAAAAAAATATTAAATTCATCTAAGATGTTATCTGATTCTTTGATAAAGATTAATCAATGGTAAAAATAAATGGCATGATTTATTTTATATACAGTATATTCGTGGGATGATCTCGATAAAGAGACTAAATCCTATAAATAACAATTTTTTTTCAAAAAGGCTAATCTAAAAAATTTAGCATTCGAAAATTCGACTGTTAGTTACGTTTTTATTCACATGATTTATTATTCTCAATAAAAATTCTGCACAAATAATGCATAACATAATCAATCTTATTAACGTTAAATCAATTTATAAAATTTACTAAATTTATGTATTAAAATTAAGTTATATATTTTTCGAACCTTTAAAATTATAATACTTCAACTATTTAGAAAGATACTCATATAATTAGCAAAATACCTATTATTTTGAGTAATATGTACTATATAAATTATATTTAATCAAAAAATAAATATATCCATCCTGTTTTACTATAAATAATTAGATGAGATATTAATTAAAAAGTTTTTCTAAAAAAAAAATTTTATTTCACATAATTGGATTGACAGGTAATATTTATAAAGAATTTAATCTAAGATTTTTCTCATACATTTCTATTCTATTTTAATTTCTGATAAAATTCTTTATCGATTATTTAACACTTCTAAGTAGAATTTTTACAAATTAGAAAATGTATTATTAAAATTGTAAAATGAAATATTGAGTTTTGAATATCATTTAAATAGTAAAAAGTAAAATTTAGTAAAATCTGCAAAATTCAAAAAAGTAAAACTATATCAAAATTTATAAATAGCAAAACTATATTAAAAACTTAATAAAAATTTAATAAATAAAGGTTTAGATATTTTTTTTAAATTCAAAATAGGTTTAGATAAATAATTTTATTTTAATAATAACTTTATATATTGTATATATGCTTATGTTTGCATAAGGATGATTTTCATAATACTTTCAAATTTTTAATTGAGTTGTAACTTAATTGCATTATAAGTAAATTTAATTGTATCATAAGTTATAACTCAATTGCAATTAATTTTGCATATAAGTAAATTATGATTTTTTCTAGAATTTATTTTATAAAAGTATTATAAATAATAAGTTATTAAAAATTTTTATAACTTTAATATTATAATAATAAATAATAATTTAATATAAAAAATTTATATGATAATTTTTTCAGATAAGAACAATTAGAATATTAAATTATAATATAGGTAATAAACTATTTCTTATATTAAAATCTATCTAAGTTTCTATTTTAGTATTCTAGTTTTTTAAAATATCATTAAATCTATTATAATTATATTTTTTTTTAAAAAAATAAATAAGACTTTTTGAAATATATTATTTTATAACCATTAAAAACTTTTAAAAAATAGTTAAATTTTCTAAAAATTTATTAATATAATAATTATTAAAATTAAATTTAATTAATTATCAATATCAAAATCATTAGTATTATACCAGTTCTTATGATTTCTTGTATTTACTTACAACATTTGTATGAGCAGAAGGTTTTCTTTATAAAAAAATAAATAAAACAAGTAAAAAAAATAAAAAATATATGCAATTAGTATAAAAGTTAAAATTGACTAAAATTTTTAATCAGTTAATAATCAGTTAAAATATTTGTTAATTAATTAATTAACCAATTAAAATTAATTTAGATAAGTATTATAAATTTAGCTAAAATTAAATAATATTTAAAAATCTTAATTTTAACTAAAAATTAAATTTCAATTAGAATTAAAATTACCTATTTTAACCAGTTAAATAAAAATGATTATACTACCTTTATTAATATATCTATATTAAAAATAGTACTATAATCAGTGATAAATAAATATTATAAAATTAAACTAATTGCAAAATTATGTTACAACTAATTATAACTGATGATAAATAAATATTACAGAATTTTTACTAAAAATAGTATTACAACTAGTTGCAACCTATTTATCACTAGATATAATTTAATTTATTAATAATATAACTAGTTACAACCATAAAATATTTATTTATTACTAGTAATAATTAAAGATTATCTCATAATTATTTTAAATTCAATTGAATTATAATTTAATTATATTATAAGAAAATTTAATTGCGTTATAAGTTGTAATTTAATTGCATAATTTTTTTAATTGCAATATTTATCTTTAATAATAATATTATCTTTAGTTATAATTAGTTGCAATAATTATTTTTAATTTGTATTAAATTGTTTATTTATTAAAATTTTATTATAAAACAAATCACACTTATTTATATTTACAAATTACTTTTATTTTATAAAAATATATCTTAATAATAATAATAAAAATAATAAAAAATAAATATAATTAATAAAATAATTTAAATAAAAAAAATTAAATCTATAAATTAAATAATATTAATAATGAATAATATAATAAACTTTATTAATATTATAAATTTAGAATATTAAAATTAAGTAATAAGAAATGTAAATTATTTGTTTGTTTAATTTAATAATAAAAGTGCAAATCCTTTTATTATACAAGAAATTGAACTTTCTTTAATTTTTACAAATTATTTTAATATTTTTTTTTTTAGATGTAATATTAAAATAAAATTAAATTATGTTAAAAAATTATTAATATTAAATTATTCAAAAAATAAAATTATTTTATTAAATTTTATTAATAAATTTATAAATAACTAAAAGAAATAAAAATTTAAATATATATCTAATAAATTATTTAAGAAGTTTAAAATATTTAAAGATAATAATTAAAGTTATAATTAAAATAATAGAGAAAAAAACTTTTTTAATTTTATTTTTTTTTAATATTAATATTTATATTTAATTTTTAAATAATTAATAAAATAATAAATATAAAAGTAAAAAAATTAAATATATAAAATATATAATTTATTTATTTAAGTAAGATTTATAATTTTTTTTTATTATTTTATAATAATAAAAATTTATGACTCTTTTTAAAATAATAAAAATAATAATAATAATTTTATTTATAAATAATCTATCTTTTAAAAGTTTATAATAAATATAAATTTTTTAAAGTTTAAAATATTATTAAATTTATAATTTTATTTTTTTTAGTAATAATAATAATATTATATCTTTAACAATTTATTAAATATATATATATATATATTATTAATAAAATTATCATATGATTTATTATATCTTATAATTTAATTTACTAATAATAAAGTCAAATTAAATTATAAATTAAATATCTTAATTTAAAAATATTATTTATTAAATTAGATTATACTTATATTATATAGTAATATAGATTTTAAAAATCTCTTTTATAACTTAAATTAGAGTTATATAAAGTTTATATATAAATTCTAACAAAAATTGTATATTACAAAAAGGTTTTCAAATTATTATTCTACATATTTCAGTTTTTAATTCAACTAGTAACTGGATTTTGATAATCTTAGTATTATTGAAAATGTCTTAATAAGATAAATCTAATGATATTAAAATCATATTTTTAATATTAATATTAATTGAATTATTATAAAAAATGTATTATACTATATGTTATTTATAAGTTAAATAAAAGATATTTAGAATTCTAGTAATATATTAATTTATATTAAATATAAGCTAAAAAAATTAAATAATAAAATACATTTTTAAAAAAACTATAAAGTATTAAAATTAATTATCTAATTTATTTTAAATTTAATATAATATATAAATCTTTAATTTATAAATTTTATTTTTTTAAATAATTTAAATTTATTATTTTTATAAATTATTTTTAGATTATTTTATTATATAATTGTAATTTTATAATAAAATTAAAATTTAGTAATAAATAAAATTATTTTAATTTTTATTAAAATATTTAAAAGTATTGTGATCAGGTATTAATCTTGAAAATTATAGATTTGTAAATATGTAATGAAGTATAGAATGTTAAAAAATATTAAATATATTAAACATGTTTAATATGTTTAATATAATTAATATATTTAATATAGTAATATATCAAAATATATAATAGAATAGATATAAATATAAGCTCTTTATAAGTTAAAAAAGACAGACAATAGTTATATAAAACTTCTCCTGTAAAAGATAGTATAACACTACTCTATATTCCTCTTATTTATTTATTTTTTTTATATTTTTTATATCTATTATCTTATTATTTTCTTTTTTTTAATAAAGTATTTCTTATTTCTATCATAAACTTTTTATAATTACTGAGAAAGTTTTCACCTATAAATAAAGCTATTCACATTTAATAAACTTAATTTAACTTGATAAAGTCAGTAGTAAAGTAACCAAGATTAGTATAAAACTAATTAGAATTATATGTAAACTATAAAAAAGATAATCCTCTGATATTACGTTTAACAGTTGCAATCTAAAAAGATTATACATTAACAGTATTTATTTATTTATTTTATATTAAATCTGATTTTAAAAAAGTTTTTTAATATATTAAATAAAAATTATTTCTTATTAATCTTTATAATATAATAAAAATAAATAAAATAATATTTTAAAATAATATATTTTAAAATATTTAATTTATTTTTTTAAAATAATTATATAAATATCAATTTATATTTTATATAATATATAATAATTAGATATTTTGCAATAAAAAGAAAAAATTTTCATAAAATTATTTTTTAAGTTAATATTAAATCTAAACTTATTTTACTAAAAAATCATATTTAGTTTATAAAGTAAAAATATTTCTCATTTTTTACTATAAAATATCCAATTATTAAAAATATTTATTGTATTATTTTTTACATTATTTTAAAATAATAAAATCTTATAATTTAGAAAATGTATTGATATAAAACTTATTTAAAAAATTTATTATATCTTATTTTAAAATTCGTAGAGATAAAAT